CACAATTATTTATACCGACATGATTTGAGTAAAGTAAAAAATGTGTACCGGACGGGTTCTACTGTGTATCACATTGAATTAAATGTGTATTCCCACGCACTCACGTTAAATATTTTTGTCATTGGAGCGACACCTTATTTGTTGGTAAAATGGATTACTTCCTCCGTCCCAAAAGAATATACCAAAAGAAAAAGAATATTAAACTAAAATGACTTGAAAAGTAAAAGTTTGTAGTGTTTAGTAAAATAGGTGCTTTTGATAGTGTTTAGTAATGTTTAATAAATAAGTGATTTTTTAAATCAAAAGTGCTTTTTTATATGTTACAAATAGACCTGCACAAAACCGGGCCGGCCCGCCCAGCCCGCCCAACCGGCCCGCACAAATGGGCGGGCTTGGGCATATATATTTACCCACCGGGCCCGGCCCGGCCCGCAATAACATATGGGCGGGCTTGGGTTAGGGTGTAGGCCCGTTCGGGCCGATAAGCCCGGCCCGCTACATTTAATATATATATATATATATATATATATATATATATAATTTATTTATTTACATGTACATTTATATTTTCTAATATAATTTATCTTTATACATATTTATAGTTTATTATGTTTAAATTTAGGTTTTTAGATCTGAACCACTAGCCCAACTAATATAGTATCTATTTTTGTACTTAAAGATAATACTTTGTGCTTGAATTTTAAATTTTAGATATAGTTTCTCATTATTATTTTTGTGTAAGTATTATTTTTGTATGTGGTGAAAGACCTATAAACATTACACGCATATTAACAATTTTTTAAATGTTGTAATATTAGTTTTAAATTATTAAAAAAAAAATCGAAAAATATAAAGGTTTTCCGGGCCCGGAGGCCCGGTGGACTACCCGGCCCGCTCTTATGGGCGGGTATGAACATGGGGTTAGGCTCGTTTTTGCGGGCCGGGCCGGGCCCGCCCACATATGATGGACAAAAAAATTATAAAAAGCCCGGCCCGAGCCCGGCCTATGAAATACAGATGTACTATGACTGTAGATACATTTCCAGTCGATGAAATACAGATGTACATATGTACTATGACTGTAGATACAGCGATGGTTACTGCAGCGATGGTTAAAGCATGTCATGGCCAAGTTGATGGAGAGACCTCAAATGCCATCCCTCTACCTTCATCTCCGACAGACGATTTGAATTTATCGTCGATTGATGATAGTGATGTAGATGATGAATATGTTGATTATGATGCTTTTCCTACTATTACAAACACCAGGCATGTTGGTACGTGCTGCATATTTCTATTCCTTACCCACCTTTATTGTTCTTTCAATTGTCTTTATGTGATTGAATACTATTTTCTAATCTCCCCTTCATCATAGATTATTGGGACCTCGGTGATTCAAACTGCGTATGCAAATTTTGCAAAGCTTTGTTTTGGTTTGACGAACGGGTGATATCCACTTCTTCAAAGGAAAATCCTAAATACTCACTGTGTTGCTCCAAGGGAAATGTTGTATTGCCTGTGATGAAAGAACCTCCTTTGTTCTTATCTCAACTGATTAATGGGGCAGATGAACGCAGCAACCATTTCATTGAAAATATAAGATCATATAACAGTATGTTTGCGTTTACCTCAATGGGAGGGAAAATAGCAGGAAATATTAACAAAGGAAGGTCACCGCCAATCTTCAAACTTCATGGCCAAAATTATCACCTGATTGGAAGCCTATTGCCTCCGACTGGGGCGAAACCCAAATTCGCACAACTATATATTTATGATACAGACAATGAACTTCAAAATCGAATTTCCTCCGTTACGTAAGTGTGCGCCCCAATTACTTTATACTGTTCTTTGTTCTATGTGCAATAGCTATAATTTTTCTGCTTTTGTTATAGTGATGCTACACGGGAAAAGAAGTTGCATGAAGCTATTGTTTTCGGGTTGACCGAGATGCTGAATAAACATAATGTCTTGGTAAAATCTTTTCGCCTTGCTCGAGAAAAGATTAACACAACCAGTGTCCCAAACGTGCGGCTAAAACTTATTGGGAAACGTTATGGTGATGCAAGAACTTATAATTTACCTTCTGTTTCTGAGGTCGCCGCATTAGTCGTAGGTGATTTTGACGAATCCTTGGGAGAGAGGGATATTTTGGTTGAAACAAAGTCAGGTACACTCCAGAGGATAAATGAACTAAATCCAGCGTATTTTGGCCTTCAATATCCATTACTGTTTCCTTACGGAGAGGACGGTTATCGTGAAGATACAATGTTGTCCAAATATAGTAGTATTAGTAATGGTGGCGGTAGAAAAAGAGTTAGTGTTAGGGAGTTCCTAGCATTTCGTGTACAGGAACGATGCAGTAACCATTCCAGTCGATGAAATCCAGCGTTTTTTCCAATCAGTTGACGGTGAGACAAAACAAAACCCAGTCGATGAAATACAGATGTACTATGACTGTAGATACATTTCTGCTTGCGAAGCTGCCTGGCGAATATTTGGATTTGAGATTCAGTATAAGAATCCGCCTGTAGAACGTTTGAGCTTTCATTTACCTGAAGAACAGAGTGTGGTTTTCCATGATGGTGAACCTCTGGATTTAGTGGTAAAGACCTATTCCGTAAAACATAGTATGTTCACAGCGTGGATGGAAGCTAACAAAAAGTATCCAGATGCAAAATTGTTGACCTACGCTGAGTTTCCTCAAAAATTTGTTTGGAAACAAAAAACAAGAGAATGGGCTCCGAGAAAACAAGCTTTTGCAATTGGAAGAATCTACTATGTTCATCCTGGAACTGGTGAATCCTATTACATAAGGTGCCTTTTAAATCACATCAGGGGTGCAACATGTCATGCTGATTTGAGAACGTTAAACGGTATAACGTATGCTTCTTTCCGTGATGCATGCTATGCTTTGGGATTGCTTGAAGATGATAAAGAATTCATCGATGCTTTTAAAGAAGCGAGTCAATTCTCATCTGCCTATGGTCTAAGGATTCTCTTTGTGATATTATTGTGGACAGACTCCATGGCTCGACCAGAATATGTTTGGGAAAATTGTTGGTTGTTCATGGCTGATGATATACAGTACAATCGAAGAAGAATATTACAGCATCCAGGTATTCATTTTCATGATACTTTGTCCAAGTATTATACCATGCATCATGTTTATAGGTTTTGAATTATTCATAAGATTTTATGCATTTGTTCTGCTCACATTTATCTATTTGACATATAACCGCAATTCTTCTTTACAGAATTAGTTCTGACAGATGATCAATTACAGTCCTTTACTTTACAAGAAATAGAAAGATTGTTACAAAGTCGTGGAAATAGTTTGCATGATTACCCACCCATGCCTACTGTTGTACTTGATTCACTACTGTCCTCCAACGATAGACTCATATACGAAGAAATGCGTTATGACCGAATAGCATTAGCTGAAGAACATTCTACCTTGCTCGAGTGCCTTACAGATGAGCAGGAACGAGTATATGAGTCAGTCATGCAGTCCATTAATAAAGCCGTCGGGCGTATTTTTTTTATTTATGGATACGGAGGTTCAGGAAAGACATTTTTATGGAAGACACTTTCTGCTGCCATTCGGTCTAAAGGTGAAATTGTTCTTAATGTTGCATCCAGCGGTATTGCATCTCTTCTTTTACCAGGTGGCCGTACGGCGCACTCAAGGTTTGGAATTCCGATAAGTTTGAATGAAGACTCAACATGTAATATTAAGCAGGGAAGTCCACTTGCAAAACTTATTGTACGTTGTAAGCTTATAATTTGGGACGAGGCTCCAATGTTGCATAAGTTCTGCTTTGAAGCGTTAGACCGCAATATGCGTGACATAATGCAGTTTCATACACCTAACAGTGGAAGTCTTCCTTATGGCGGAAAAACAATAGTGTTTGGTGGTGATTTTCGTCAAGTGTTGCCAGTGATACCTCATGGAAGCAGACAAGATGTTGTCAATGCTACAATAAATTCATCATACCTTTGGTCTAAATGCACGGTAATGCGATTAACAAAAAATATGCGTTTGCAGCACATGACTAATCTAGAGGAATCGTACGCCTTGAAAGTTTTTTCCAATTGGATCGCCGGTATTGGTGATGGGATTGCTGGTGAAAGTAATGATTGTCATGCTGATATCTCTATTCCTGAAGATCTGTTAATCCGTACAGATAAAGATCCGATAGCTGCAATTGTTCAAAGCATCTTTCCAGAGTATGTTGAATCAACACAAAATATAAGTTCTTTGTGTGACCGTGCAATTTTGGCACCCACACTCGCTGTTGTTGAAGCCATAAATGAGTATATGACATCACTCAATGTCAGCGAAATTTCAAGAACCTATCTTAGTTCAGACAGCGTTTCAAAAGTCGATTGCACGACCGATTTGATGACCGAATTACATACACCAGAATTCCTGAACAGCATCAAATTGTCTGGCGTGCCAAACCACGAGTTAACGTTAAAAGTGGGAACTCCTGTAATGCTTTTACGGAATATAGATCATTCAATGGGATTATGCAACGGGACACGCCTTATTCTAACGAGGCTAGGAGATCATATTTTGGAAGGAACAATTTTAGCTGGCGTAAGTGCTGGAAAAAAAGTACTAATTCCCAGATTGTCTTTGACCCCTTCTGATTCAAGCTTGCCATTCAAATTTCAGCGGCGCCAATTTCCTATTATGACTTCATATGCTATGACTATAAATAAAAGTCAAGGTCAATCATTGTCACGTGTAGGATTATTGTTGAAAAAACCCGTCTTTACCCACGGTCAATTGTATGTTGCCGTTTCCAGGGTTACAAGTCGTCGTGGGCTGAAAATTTTAATTTATGATGACAGCGGAAGCACTACGAATATAACTCAAAATGTTGTTTTCAAGGAAGTGTTCAACAACGTGTAATGCCACATTATAGTCACTTATGTGATGGTCTTCTCTTTATTAGCCTCTTTTGTATTTCCAGACGTTTTACCAGTGCTTAATCCTCTATTTGACATACTAACATAATATGTGCCCAACTACGTTTATATAGATTTATCATATATTTTAACTTTCTCTTGCACGTACATCACTATTGCCAAAGCATACAGCTTTTTGCGTTCCAATTATGTCTACGTCATTGTTTCCAGCAACCAATTTTGGAAAACAAATTACAAACCGTGCATCGCACGGGTGATTTATGATGCAAACACTGCCTTCAATATTCGTTCGTAGGATAGCTTTTGGCGTAACCCTACTTCCGATTCTTCGTTTTGAAGAGATGTGAGAGCGTTTGTGCGAGAGCTTCGGCCTCAAGCCCTCAAGCCTAAATCGATTTGTGCTAAGCTTTCGTTCAATCTGTGCGCTGAGGTTCATCCGGCATCTCTGAAGAAGGGGAAGCCTGAGATGTCTTGTTGGTAGGTTGTTCGCGCTTCTGTTGGAAGGCATATATCGTCAAGATTTACATTTAGAGGTTCCATTTTGGAACTTAAACTTAAACCTACACTAATCTACTCCTCTACATGCACTGGTTTAGACCTATAAGCTCGGAACGAACCCCTAATATGGAAAGCGTCACTAAGACACAGAGCCTCCGGGAAATGACTCATGGCATATAAGACATTGGGTAATTGTGTTTTTGACGTGTTTCAATTCAATGTTTACTTGATTGATTATTAAATTCACTTTTCAAATATAGCTTTAGACCTATTCTTCAACCTAGCTGTTCTAGTTCTCAATTTTCAATATAGACTTTGAATCCAATATAATTTTCATACACGTGTACCTAGTATAATATAGGTAGTAGTGATTTTCCAATATATATTTCGGATTTAATAAAATATTTCCAATTAGTGTGCTGTAGCAGATTTTGAAGTCTTTTTACAATATTCAACAATATATTTTTGTTATGATTCTTCCTTTAGTCAATTACAAAGTACTATTCAAGAAAGAGATTTTCAAGTCATTTTAGTTTAATATTCTTTTGGTATATTAAGAATGTTTCACCCAACTAAAATACCTTTGAAACTTAAGAACATAGATTTCAATATTTTAAATCAATTAACTGGATGCTTTTTACAAATATGATAAAATCTTTGAACATTTGTACGTTGTTTCAATATTGTGGTTAATCTGTGTATGCTAGATGAACTCAAAACTAATGACATTTAAATTTCCATGTTTCTTCATTGACAGAGAAAGGTTCAATTTTCTGGAAAGCAGCGAGACGGTCACACAGCAGCAGGCTACAATATTCACAAAAGGTGTGTCTAAGGTCTCCCTTTTGATGCTCTTTTGACATCTTTGAGTCAATTGTTTGTAATCTATTGCATGCCTAATTTGGAATTGGAAAGTTGTATGTGTTTATAATAACAAATGGATATTTTCATCCACAACAACAAATGCTTTCTCTTGTAAAGGATATGTAAATATTTTAAAAAAAATCAAAGCAAATGAAAAATTTGGAAACCCAGTAGCATATTTTTTCTGTTTAATTTGCTAAATTTTCTCTTTCATTTGCATCTCTGATATACTTATATCCTAACTTCCTAAGCATAGCTATGTAAAGTCATATGGTATAGAATCATTTTATTGCAAATAGCAATCAAAATATCAATGCCTGCCAAAACACTTGAAATGTCATGAATTAGAAGTCACCATTTTTAACCAATACATTTACAGTTCTATACTTTAATGTAGGGAGCAGGACACCAAGGACGGAGTAAAAATTCTAGGACTTGAGCCACTGTTAAAGAGGGAGGATTCTGGGAGCTGACCAACCAAATATGTAGAGGCTGATCGTCGCCCAGCCTTTTGGTGCACCTGTAAATCTGGCTTTATAAATCTGAACTTCCCTTCCCTTCTGTGGACCTGTGAATCTGCCATTCTGCCCAACCCCTTATGAAAGATCAAAGACTTTTTTGTTTTGTTTTGTCATGAGCTTGATGTTTTGAGTGGATGTGAGGAATGGATCAAGGAAGTCCTACTTTTATAGCTCAATGCATCAAGCCCCCTTAATAACCAAGTCCTACTTCCCTTCACACACTCGATAAACCCGAGTTGCCCTGGTCTTTATGGCCAGGGAAATGTAGTTGGCTGCCATAAGAGCGCAAAGTGATGTTTTTGGGCTGAGAAACATGCCAATCTCGTCCACCTTTTATAGGCAAGGATAAGCTGTGAAAGTGTGTAAAACAATAATACATAATATTCACTATTTAGAGCTCATTCCGGCCACAGCAGGCCCATACCATTGACTGTTTCACCACCCATTCCTACCAATCAAACCATAGCATATATAAATATAACCAATCAGGATTTAGATGAATAGTACTCACCACCCTACAGAATAAATAGGACCAATCAATTCGTAGCTGCCTAACTTCTTTGGAACGATTAAACTCGCTTGGCCCGACGTTGACATTTTTGAGCGGGAGGAACATGCCTGGAAAATCTTTTCCTTTTAGATAAGAAGAGATGTTTAAATCGCAGCCTTTGTTGTCGGTTATTGCCGGTAAAACATTGGGCCAGTTGTGTTGTGGGCTTGATCTGTTAATGGACTTATATTAATTTGAACCACGGATGTACATAGGGTAGCATATAGGGTCTCACTTTATCATATAGGATCTCCAAAAGTTGAGTTTATGGGGCACTGTTGCAGCAAGGTCGTCACCGACGACGGCGTCGTCACACCGGCAGGTGGCGTCGTCACCACTGCAGCTGCCGCCGGGGACGGCCAGCGTCCCAAACCGCCTACTTCCCCGGCACCTTTTCAACATTCATCCACGAATGGGATCGATGAGAGTCATTCCAGCAAGAACACTCCGGCTTATTCCTTCACCGCCAGTCCATGGCAGAGCCCCTACCCTGCTGGCATCGGTCCCTCTCCGTCTCCGGCTGCAACTCCGAGGAGGACATTCAAGTGGCCATTCCCTCCCCCGTCTCCTGCAAAGCCTATAATGTCGGCTCTACTGAAGCGGCAGGCTCCCGCTTCAACTAGACCAAGGGGCGGGCCAATTCCCGAGGAAAATGGAGGCGTCTGCGGAGAGACGCAGCTTGATAAAAGTTTCGGGAATGCGAAAAACTTCGCGTCCAAGTATGAATTGGGGAAAGGGGTGGGTCGTGGGCATTTCGGTCATACTTGTCTGGCTAAAGGAAAAAAGGGAGAGCTGAAGAATCAACCTGTAGCTGTGAAGATCATTTCCAAAGCAAAGGTAAGTGGTATGTGCATTTAATTTATTTAAATGTTCCATTTGGTGGCAAAGAATATCATGTTTCTGCCTCATCTCTAGTTGAACTGCTGTAAAATGAATTGAATTTAGCCTTCTGGAAGAGAAATTGTCAAATGGTGCTCGCTGCAAATTAAAATTTATTAGTGTTAATGAACATTGTATCCTTAATTATTCAAATTCAGAAGGCTAATCCTTCAACTGTTGACAACCATTTTGTGCTCCCTTTGGGATTAAAAAAGAAAGAAAATTCAAATTTGTAGTACTTCTTTGTTTGACATTTTAATGGGTGCTGATTTTCATTCCTAGTCATAAATACATAATGTCTGGTCTTGGTTTATGCAGATGACAACTGCCATATCTATTGAAGATGTTCGTAGGGAAGTGAAAATTTTAAAAGCGTTATCTGGACATGATAATTTGATTAAGTTTGATTAAGTTTTATGATGCATGTGAGGATGCTCAAAATGTCTACATTGTGATGGAGTATGCCTTTCTTGTTAACTCTCATCTTACCTGTCTTATTTTCATGAATTACACTTTCCCCTAAAATTGGCTTTTGTTATGCATTGCATTATGGTTTAGCATCAAGCTCCTATTTTTGGATTTGTGACATTTGTATCCTACGCGTGTGAAGATTCTAACCTTCTTTTTATTTATTTTGTCTTCTAGCGGTGTTTATAAGTTGGTATTTATGTGTTTACCTATTAAAATTACTTTTATTTTCATGTTCTGTTGAAGAAGCGGATTCCACTATAAGTTTAGGTATTAACACACATGATTCTATTCTAAAAGGTAACCTTAAAGGAGAAGCAGCTCAAACATTCATACTCTTGGCTGTACACATCCCCATTATTTTGTTTTCATTACTCTGACAACTCAACACCTTGTCTCGAATGTGCATTCATCAAAGGTGCCTACATCAAGGTTACTGATTTGGTTGGGTTTGGCACCATATTAAGTTTTAGTTCCATCCAAATTCATATATGTATTGTTTCTTATATAGCCTGTATACGACACACGTCATTAACCATGGCTCCTCGTTATGGCCTCGTTATGGATTTATGGATTTTGACTACAACTAGTAATTTTAACGTTTAGCATATTAAAAAATTTAGTAGTTTATTTTGCATTTAAACTAAAGTAACAAAACTTCGGGGTTAAGGAAGAACAACTTCACAAGGCTATACCGCTATGGATGGAATGAAGATTTTAAAAATGTCTGAACAAATTGCATGATTCAATTAAGTTCGCGGCTTCGCGCAGGCTGCCTGATTTGTTATACAGGAGCTGCTTCCAACTTATAGTGCAACTTTTAATGCTCTTCTTCTTTGTGTGAGTTTATGCGAAAAAATTGTAAGATCATCCTATTTATTCAGTGTGGTCTTTTGTACAGATTGTGTGAAGGAGGTGAACTATTAGACAGGATACTATCAAGGTAATGTTTCTCCTCTTTAACCATTAATGGTTTGTGTAAGAGATTTGTTCAGCTTAAGTGCATCATATTTTTTTTTTTGCACTTTGTAATTTCAGAGGCGTAAGATACACAGAGGAGGATGCCAAGGGAGTAATTTTGCAGATATTAAATGTTGTAGCCTTTTGTCATCTTCAAGGTGTTGTGCATCGTGATCTGAAGCCTGAGGTAACCCATATATACATCCATTCCATTGTCACTATCACACTTACGGAGATATGCAGCCCAATTTGTTCCTATGAATGTGGTTTTCTCAAGTCATATTTGATGATATGCACGTTGACTTCACAATTCCAATTTCCCATTGCTGCAATTTCCCATGATGTGCAATATGAGACTTTCAAGAAATTTACCAAAATAGAGTAACAAACAACATTATTTTGATCAGTTTAGGTTAACCAGTCTAATTTATAACTTTAAGTGATAACATTTGTACTTCGCCTAATATAAACAGTTGTACATTGGAACTAAATAGACACCTTTTATGGAACCGAGAGAGAGTATTTTAAGTGATCATTATATTTTCAATCCAAGTCCTAAATATTGATGATGTTAGATAAATTTCATCTACTTATTCCTTCTTTAGAAAGTTATGACAGGAAGGGCTTTGGCGTAAAAGATTGCCACTGTTTTTTTGCATGTTTATATTTTTAAACAATTCAGAAACACTATGGGTTTCATGCACCGACCCCACTCTATTTGGAATTAAGATGATGTTGATGGTGATGATGAAGATGTTGTTTTCTTTGTAGAATTTTCTTTTTACTAAAGGAGATGAAGATGCTCCCCTGAAGGTCATTGATTTTGGTCTATCAGATTTTATCAAAGCAGGTACTGATTGCACAATTCTAGCTCCTTCAAGCTTGTCTGTGCTAGGGAGTTGATCTATCTTCTTCCTTAAATGCTATTGCCTCTTGCAAAGTGTAGTTGATCCATCGAGCGTTAACGTGCTGTTGTTATTGGAGACATAGAACTTATTGGAACTATAAATGAAAATTCAGCCTAGTTCTTAGACTTGGCGCGCCGTTTATGGTGATGCTGTGTGACCGAAAGGTCACAGATTCAAGTCTTGGGAGCAGCTTATTGTCAAAATGAAAAGGGAAGGCTTGCTCCTTATACACCCTTGTGGTGGGACCCTTCCCTGGACCCTGGCCTTGTGCGGGATGTCAATGTGCAATGGGCTACACCCTTTATCTTCTTTAGTTACAACTTACAAGTATGCAGCTTGTGGCAAGGAGCATGGATAACGTTTGGTATGCCGTAACAGAACATAATCTATAAATAACACATAAAGATAGATATAAAGTTGCATATAGGTTGATAACATTTAAACATACAAACTCACACATTAGGTTTGTGCTAGCTCTCTTATCAGGTTGACCTGCTCATATAAAATGTCAAGTCCCCATATGATATTAGAGTCATTAGGTTCAAAGGAGTAACTTATCCAACTAAGACTAAAAATAGTACAGAATTGGTTGGTCTGCTCGAATGTGCTACTATTTTTAGAGGCGTGTTAAGTCATTCTATAGCGGCCAAACATAAAAATAGAAGCTGACATATAAGGTCTCAAGCTACTTGTCCTATAGGCCCACCTTTGAGAATGAAACCCTAAGTTTCAATACCAAGTAGCCGATGCAGTTTTTATGTGTGCGTGTCAACTGTGTGACAGTATATTGATTTGTACTTGTAATGCATTCATTCATTTGTGCGTCTCCCTTTATTCTAAGAAAATGCAAAACCACATGTTCTTAAACATGTGCAGATCAACGTCTCAATGATATTGTTGGGAGTGCATACTATGTTGCACCTGAAGTACTACATAGATCATACAATGTTGAAGCAGACATGTGGAGTATTGGTGTCACAACCTATATCCTGTTATGTGGAAGCAGACCTTTTTGGGCACGCACAGAGTCCGGAATCTTCCGCTCAGTACTGCGAGCAGATCCTAAACACCAAGACTTTGACATAAATATTCACGGGTAAGGAAATCCCAACCACTAGGAGGTTGTGTGTGTGGACTTGTCAGCCAGACATGAACAATTCCAACGCCACTTGGTACATGGCCGTGCCAACCACACAGCAAATCATATTGGACCGTCATTTCAGCAATCCAGAACCCGTTTACCCAAGGCTTCGGTTCATTCGGAGCTGCAGTGCTGCCCTGGCGCCGTCCATATTGATTCAGCAGGAAGAAGCGTTTGGGGCCCCTTTTCTGGAGGTGTACGCAATGATAGAAGTGACCCTTTTGATTGCTTGGAACACATTTCCGGGAAATCGGCCTCATGTGGCCGGATCCATCAGGAAGCCCGTGGGTCAAGAGATGGCAGTACTGGGTGAGAATGGCATCGTACAGGACGCAGGTTCTACTGGCGACACATGCTTTGGAGGATCAAATGTGACTAAAGGGTACAAAAACTACCCTGACGCCAATAAATCAGCCTCCGAATTCAGGTGGTTACAAACTGGAGATCTTGGATACACTGGTTCTGAAGGGTATTTACATCTTGTCAGCAGGATCAAAGAGATCAACCGCGGAGGTATGTATGTAATACTCCATCCGCTATCCGTCATAAAATGACTCCCAATTTGGTTTTGGCATGGGAGCAAAACTGTTGAAATAACGTGATCCAAATTTGTTACAAAATATACAAATGATAGAAATTGCTCGAAATAGAATTAAAACATAGACAAAGTTGAAAAATAGGACTACTCATATTTTATTCTCAAAAGTGAACCTATTTATTCCTAATAAAAAATTAAAAGCAATAATATTTTGATTATTTTCTTATTTTAAAAGTGAACAAGTCTATTTTGGAAAGAAAATATTTTGTGTTTTACACCTATTTAAAGATTCTTCTCAACCAAGCAATTATTTTCTTATAACTAAGAATGTCAGAAACTTATTTTGGAGGAGTACTGTAATACAGGAAAATATGTTGCTCTTTATAAATCCTGTTAGACAATAACAGCTTTTTGCAATTAAAAAATGTTATTATAGGAGGGAAAATATCACCCATTGAAGTGGATGCTTGCTTGGTATCCCATCCAGAGATTGCTCAAGCTGTTGCTTTTAGAGTCCCTGATGATAAGTATGGCGAAGAGGTGAGAGACCAATCTGTTTGTATATCAATTGCTTTTATCGAATTTCATTCCTGATGTTTATCTTTTCTAATATAAATTTTGGGATTTATTTATTCCATAAAAGAGGTGTATATATGTTCTCTGGCACATGGTTCAAAGCCATATTTGTTCGTTCTTCCCATTTTGATATGTCCCTCCATTCCTAAAAGTTTTGCCTACTTTTCCAATGCGGTTGCCCAATATTTATGCTACTTTCACTTTGAGAAAAGAATTTGTTATTTACACAATTTCTCATTTGTCGGTATAAAACTCTCTCATATAATTTTAATGTCTTCAGAACTTGTGTCAGTCTAACCAGTTTAGGATAGAGGGAGTACGTCTTTCACAAAAGTTATATTATCTCAAGTCTCAACACCAGCTGAAGGTCTTATCCACTTATTTGTGGTCAACCCTGAGCTCTTTCAACTATTGTTTATCATTTTTTTGCCCTATTTAGTTTTGGTTTATGCAGTTCAATAAATTTATTGGTTTATTTTCAAATTCTCAACTATTGATAATAACTTAAATATTACAGGGAGATAGTAAACTTTAACTTCCTAATCCCAATTCCCAACCAAACACTATCAGTTTGGAGGAAGGTAAATACTACCTTCTTAGTTCTTACATACATAATTTTATGGGGTCTCGTATGACTCCACTATGTAGTCATATGAGCTGACTAGGTCTCATTATGACCATTCAGTTTTATAGTGAAGTCATAACTGATCATTCCATTATGAAAGTAAGTGGCCATAGTATGAGACTCCATAAAATTACTAAATTACAAAACATGAGTTATGCTAGATTGTTTGAATGATGTTCATAATTTTTTCACTGATAAACCCTAAGTTATTTATTTCAACAAAGTAATACATTTTTAGAAATTTTGCTTTACAGGAAAAATGGGAACTTAATATTAAATGCTCTCTTAAGTCTTATAACAGAGAAAGCATTTGGAATAGTATAACCGTTGAAAAATAATCTCATTTTAAGAGATTATATATGATATTCATACTATCTAAATATATGTCAAGAATAATAAAAAGTTTTTCCATAAAGTATCTAACAGTTGTGTTGACATGACCGTCTTCCTGAGATGTGGCCATTTCAAAATCTTGAATTATTTTTCACCTGTGACTAATTGTTGGTACTTGGTAGTACTGCATATCACTTTGGTGTATAGCAATGGTTGAAATTATCTATACCAGCACATCAGTTCAATTTCTTTTTAAAACAAACATATTATTTTGGTATACATAAAACATTAGCTACCTGATTCTTAAAGTTGGGACTTGGGATTATTTATAGCTATAGCCAATTGCTGATATCCATTTAAAGCTATTTATAATCTTAAAGTTTAAGATAGAGGGAGTAAGTCTTTCACAAAAGTTATACTATCTCAAGTCTCAACACCAGCTGAAGGTCTTATCCACTAAATTTGTGGTCAACCCTGAGCTCTTTTAACCTCAACTTATTGTTTATCAAATTTTTAACCTATTTAGTTTTGGTTTTTGCAGTTCAATAAAATTATTGGTTTATTTTCAAATTTTCAATTATTGATAATAACTTAAATATTACCCGGAGAGTAAACTTTAACTTCCTAATCCCAACTTTGACTCCATATGACCACTATGGAGTCATATGAGCTGACTTGGTCTCATTATGACCATTCGTTTTTATAGTTAAGTCATAACTGATGATCCCATTCTGAAAATAAGTGGCCATAGTGAAGTCACATGAGACTCCATAAAATTACTAAATTACAAAACATGTGTCATGTTAGATTGTTTGAATGATGTTCATGATTTTTGCACTCATAAACACTGTTATTTATTTCAGCAAAGTAATACGTAGTACATTTTTAGAAATTACTTTACAGGAAAAGTGGGAACTGAATATTAAATGCTCTCTTGAGTCTTGTAACTGAGAAAGCATTTGGAATAGTATAACCGATGAAAAATAATCCCATTTTAAGAGATTACATATGATATTCGTACTCTCTAAATATATGTCAAGAATAATAAAACATTTTTCCATTAAGTATCCAAGAATAGTGTTGACATGACCGTCTTCCTGAGATGTGGCCATTTCAAAATCTTGAATTATTTTTCACCTGTGACTAATTGTTGGTACTTGGTAGTACTGCATATCACTTTCGTGTATAGCAATGGTTGGAATTATCTATACCAGCACATCATTTCAATTTCTTATTAAAACAAACATATTGTTTTGGTATACATAAAACATTAGCTACCTAATTCTTAAAGTTGAGATTATTTATAGCTATAGCCAATTGCCGATATCCATTTAAAGCTATTTATAATCTTATTTGGAGGGGGAAAATTTAATAAGAGTCTGCAAAAAAATTGCAGCTAATGACTATTTACTTTGATTTTTACCAGATAAACTGTGCAATCATTGCAAATGAAGGAGCAACCATTGATGAAGAGGTATTGAAATTCTGCAAGAGATATTTTGTGGCCTTCAAGGTTCCAAAGAAGGTGCTCTTGACTGATGCCCCCCTAAAACTATCACATGTAAAATCCTTAGGAGACTTGTTGCACAACACTTCCTTGCACAAATCTCTATTGCTCAGCTTCCTAGGATAGCCTAGAAATTGTCTTCTTTGCCGCTCATGCCCCAAAAATAAAGGTGGATGGGGCATCCTATTTGGTAACCAATTGTGCTTTAACATGACCACATAATCAAGTCGAGTAGAGAAAGATTCCCATGAAAGGGTTAGTGGATTTAACATGATTGGACGTCTTCTTTCGAAGTGCTTTTAGTACTCTGCTAGTGGGTATGTAGGCGCCCACGGCCAACATACATGCGCCAATGTCAGGGCACTGTCATCACTTTCACCCTGAATTTCCCTTGCGAATGTATAGTAGCCTTTACACTCCCGGAGAGTGAACTCTGCTCGTTTCTGTTTGTTTCCTTCATCATCAATAATATATATAGGGATCAGACGACATTTACTCTCAAATTCTTCCTCTGGCAATCCTCCAATAACCTCGTTTTCTTTTTCATCATTGTCACTTAAGTCACTTGTTTCTGAAGGACTTCTCAACGTGAAAAATGGACTTTCATTCGAGTTTGACGAAGAAACATCAGCTGCACCCGAGGCACCAATTGTGTCACTCCTATGACTTGCTTTTCTGACCCCATGATGGTTTGTGCAGCAAGGAAGAAGGAGAGTAGAGGTACCTAAATGCCAAACATAAATGTTAGAAGTAAGAATATTGTAGCTCCATCAACTCCACATAAATTAATAAAGAAGAGCTATCATTATTGAACAAATATGATGTTGCATTACAAAGTATTAATATGGTAATTGCTTGAAAGATCTCAGCTTCCTTCAGTTTTGTTTTAAAAATTAATTTGGTTACCAAATAGGATGCTCAGATACACACATCCAGGCGAAGGGTACATAATGGGGTCAGAAAAGCAAGTCATAGGAGTGACACAATTGGTGCCTCGGGTGCGGTTGATGTTTTTTCGTCAAACTTGAGTGGAAGTCCATTTTTCACGTTGGGAAGTCCTTCAGAAACAAGTGACTTAAGTGACAATGGTGAAAAAGAAAATAAGGTTACTGGAGGATTGCCTGAGTAGGAATTTGAGAGTAAATGTCGCCTGATCCCTATATATATTATTGATGATGAAGGGAACAAACAGAAACGAGCAGAGTTCACTCTCCGGGAGTGTAAAGGCTACTATACATTCGCAAGGGAAATTCAGGGTGAAAGTGATGACAGTGCCCATACATTGGCACATGTATGTTGGCCGTGGGCGCCTACATACCCACTAGCAGAGTACTACAAGCACTTCGAAAGAAGGCGCCCAATCATGTTAAATCCGCTAACCCTTTCATGGGAATCTTTCTCTACTCGACTTGATTATGTGGTCATGTTAAAGCACTTTGAAGAACCAGCTACTAGTTGGACAGGGTCAATTCCATTTCAAATCTATAGCGGCAATGTTCTACGATGGGATTTAAGAATTCCCAGACAGGTTGTAAAAAGTTACAAATTTTTCCTGATGGTTCTTTACTTCTACAATTTTGCATATAGAAGTCAAGAACCAGAAAAATTACTGCCGTTAAGCCCACGGCCTATGGTTTTCTGCACATATTATGGTGAAGATGGGCAGGAGTTGGATTTTGAACCGCACTTGGAGGAGGAAGATGATAATAATGAAGAAGAATTGGAAAACAATGAAGAACACGTCAACAATGATGCTGGGGAAGTGGAAGATGATAATAATGAAGAAGAATTGGAAAACAATGAAGAACAGGTCAAGAATGATGCTGGGGAAGAGGAAGATTTGAGCTGCGAAGAATCAGATGACGGTGTGATGAATGCTGTTGAATGGGAAGCATTCTTAGCACGACTGGTTCGTGTTGAGGTTAGGCCAGCTTAGCTTTTTATTGCTTTATTGTTTTTGGTCCCACTCTATTTGTTCGTAAGTGTCTATTTTGCTAAGGAGTTGTAAATTCCTTTTGACATGAGTATACTCTTGCAAACCCAAATCTAGCACGTTGTTGGATGTTGTTAGACCTCGGGATTGTAAGTCCCTATGCCTTCATTTGGTAAAGATAAAAAGTGTGCAGGACTTGCTAATGTGGCAGTAAGTGGTTTGAAGCAGTGCTGTCAATCCGAGATATATGTCAAAAAGTATGATATATGTCACTGAAAATTGCAAACATCTTAACATTCATAAATAGCTAGAAATACTCCTTGATTTCATGAGCAAAACATATGATGCTGTTAATGTTAATGATTAGAACTTCTGAAGTCAAAACATTGAATCAATACTAGTACTGGAAAGAAGCAAAGAGGTGTGCAGTATGTGTCCTTGTAGAAGATGGAGCACATGTGATAAGAAACTGGCAGTAATCAAGCAGAAACAGTAATAATCTAGGAAATGTGCAGAGAAAGAGAGCAATGGAAGTGTTTATTGGAAGAAAATGATCAACGTAGGGTACAAGCAACGGGACTGTTAGAGAAGCCCACTCTCCAAACCATAGCCAAGTCTGAAATAACAGCCTGCCTTATTTAGCTATTCCCCTTTCTATTTATAGTAAAGCATCCACGCAGGGATAAAAAGGCTACCCGCTTGCTATTTAATTACTAAACCCCCTATTCCTCCTCCTGTAGACTTTGTTAAAGTACTGAATAGGCCCCTTATTCCTATCAATACTCCCTCACTGAAAATTCACCTTGTCCCCAAGGTGAAACTCAGGAAATTGTTCTGTTATCGCATGAAGCGACTCCCATGAATCTTCAAACTGTGGGAGATCCTTCCAATGTATTAACAGCTCCATCTCTCCTTCTTTATTTCTTCTGGTATCCAGTACCTGTTCTGGCCGCACCTGCAATTCCCATTCTTCATTCAAGCATTTGGGTAAAGGCGGGAACACAATAGTAGGTGTGATGGCTTTCTTCAGTAGTGAAGTGTGAAAAACTGGATGAACCTTGCTTTCTGCTGGTAGTTTAAGTTTAAACGCGACTGAGCCAATCTTCTCAAGCACCTCAAATGGACCATAGTATCTGGGACTGAGTTTCTGATTTAGCCTCTTAGCTAAAGTTCTGAGTTTGTAAGGCTGTATTTTCAAATAAACCATGTCACCCACTTCCAACAATACTTCCCTCCTGTGCTTGTCAGCCTGTTGCTTCATTTGATTTTGGGCTTGCTCCAAATTCTCTTTCAGTTCCTTTAGCATTTCATTTCTTCTAGCAGTCAGTTGAGATACTTCTTCCACCGTGGTCATATTTACATCTCCTCTAATCACAGCCGGGGGGTCTTGTCCATATAGGGCCTTGTAGGGAGTCATCTTCACTGAGGTGTGGTAATTAGTGTTGTACCAAAATTCAGCCCAGGCCAACCACTGTACCCATTGCCTGGGCTTTCTCCCGTGGTATGGCCGGTGCCGGTTAGGGCAAGGCCAACCACCCGGGGCACAGGTCAGTTTTTTTTGTTTAACTTTATAGTTTATACAAATGTTTATTAAAAACAAAGTTCAAGTGCATTTATTTGAAATAGGAACTACATTTGAGAATTGAGAAAAAAATTACAATATGAAATACATTTTCAAGTAAATTAAAAACATTTAATTGTAAGTTGTAAGCTTGTAACCAATTAATTAATTTGAGAAGTGCTTCATATGAAAAAATGAATGCATATTTATTTGAAATATGAAGTACAAGTTTACAAATTACAATTGAGAATTGAAGGAAAGATTAAAATGTGCAATACATTTTATAATAAATTGTAAAATGCTAATCAATTGGAATCTCCGGCATAGGTTGTAACACCCCAATTTAGCGAACTAGTTATATCAATCATTATTATCGATGTAAGTTAAATAAGTTTCTTTAATGAATAATGTGATATACTCCGTATTATTTAACATGTTTTTGTTTGTGGCAGATAATGTTTACCGATAAGCTCAAATAAATATTACTCCGTAAGGAAATAATGTTTTGAAATTTAATTAGTTTTTTTATTGAGAAGATACTTTTCAATTTGGTTAAACATGTTCCTTTTGAAGAAAGGATCAGAAACCCGAAGTAGTTATTTTGGCCCAAATAAGTGGGACCGAAATCTTTAAAAGAGGTAACCGAAATATTTATCTCTTAAACCCTTCGATTATCTCCTTAGCCAATCTGCCGCTCTTCTTCTTCGCAAGGTCATCAAAAGATTTCTCTCCATCGTTCAAGTATTGGTTTTCGGAATTCTCTTCTCTATCTCTAGCAATCCTATTCGAGGTACTAATACGATATCGATCTTATTTTGGTTTGTCAAATCCCTAATAACCTCCTTTTTGGATTGTAATGTACGTATATCATGGAGAATATTAACCTTTTAGTATTGACCGGTTTGATCATCATCTCGCAAGACAAATGAAACGTATGTATTTTCTTTTAGTTTCAAATTTTTAAATTTAATTGGTTTATTAATTAATTAATAATACTGTATTCAAATAATGAAAGATCATTTAAGCACTATCTCCAGATGGTATGTTCCACCCGATTGAGATGAAGTCTCGGATGGTATACTCCAAGTTTAAATAACTTTGGTTCGAACTTTGGCTAATTCTTATGTTATACGCAGTGTTATTATATTTAATTAAGCACACATCTAACTTTAGTTATACGGTTAAATCTAAATAAAGATTTCAAGTAAGAGCTTACCGGAAGACGTTATCAAAGTGTCACACTTATCTGAGTATTTTGAGTTCAGCTGTTAACATGTAAGTTCACTACCACCTGTACATCTTTGTTCAACCAAATAAAAGAAATAAGTCTGGTTGATTTTTAATAGATGATTTTAGTCTATATGCTATTATGTGAACCTGGTGAATTATTTGTTGAGTTATTTTATTTGTTGTATTAAGTCATGTTTATTATTTGGCATAGTCAAGATTTTGTCAGTATTTTATTTTCAGATTTAATGATGTTTTTAATCAAACGTCACCACCATAAAAAGAACTAATATTTAAAGTGATAGATCAGGTGATATGTATTCGGGAACAAGTTCCCTCAGATTATCAGTTTTCAGTTTCAGATAGTCCGATATGTTTAGTGGGTCGCTCCCCTGAGCTGTCGGATTGGCGCCTTTGAGTACATATCACAGGCCCACAAAGTAAAATTAGCCACAAAGAGTTTTACAGAAAGTTTAATGAGATCTCTTTCAGAAAGTTTTACAGAAAATTGTTTTGAGATCTTTTTCAGAAAGATTTACAGAGATGTTTTAAGAAAGAAATTTTAGAAAATGTTTTCTTTTGAGATCTCTCTCAAAATTTATTTGAGAAGTTATTTGTCAGTTATTTGTTTAGTGTATGCTTATAGCCTAAATTTATCTATTGATAAATTTGCATAGACTTCTAGATATTTTTGTGGATCCATAGTGACTTACTAAGCGTAAAACTTATCAGTTTCCTTCTTCGCATGTGCATCTATATTATTTATAGATTAATTGTGCGCATTGTAAAAAACGATCCTAAATTGTAAAAGAAGTAGAATTAATTTTTATTATTTTTATATATGCAATGTTGATATCATAAGAAAGATAATAAAAAGTTATGAATTTTGATATATTTTTTGTTACAATCGGAGTACAAATAAAAAAATTATATCACTTTAAAATGAATATGGGATTTTATATTTTGAATTACATTATCTGATATAGCTAACTATTAAATTATAAATGAGGTTGATTGCTATTCCCTCACTATTCTTCTTGTACCAGAGGACCCAATCCAGGGCCCATCACATCCCCATTGGCGGTCTAGTCAGTTCAAGAAGGCCGCGCAGCTGTCCCGCACGGGTAGCGCCGCTCTGGTCAATATCCATTGTTACGGATTGCAATTATATTAATGTTCATGTTAACACAGGGGCCGAGGTGGAGGGGTGGCTGGGCCACAGT